CCCCGCCCCACCCCGCCCACTTCCCCTCCCCCTCGCACCCTCGTCACGTCCCCAGGTGTTCTGCATCCACACGGAGCCCAACTTCTCCCTGCCGTGGCAGCGCAAGCGGCAGTACAGCAGCAGCAGCAGCGGCTTCATCATCCAGGGCCGCCGCATCCTTACCAACGCACACTGCGTGGACCACCACACGCAGGCGCGCACGCACCTGCGCCCCTGCACGCACGCGCGCGCGCCCCTCTCCCAGTGCAGCAGGGCGCCTGGTGGCGCTGCGGCCGTCGCGGAGGCGGGGCAGGGGGGCAGGCTCGGCGGCCGAAGGCGCCCGCGGGGGGCACGGCGGGGGCGCCTCCAGACTCACAGCCTGGGACCGCCGGGCGTTGCTGCAGGCGCGGTACCGCGCCGCCCGCGCCGGGGCTGCCGCTCAACCCGGCTGCATATGCTCCTCGCCGGCCCCCGCCGCGCAGGTCAAGGTCAAGCGGCGCGGCAGCGACAAAAAGTTCGTGGCCAGCGTGCTCGCGGTCGGCACAGAGTGCGACATAGGTGGGCAAGCACCCCTTCCCTCCCCGCCCCTGCCCGGCGCGGCCCCTCCTGTGCTGCCGCAGTCCGACGCGGCTGCCGCCCCCACTCTGCGCCAGGCGACGCGCCGCGGCAGCGGCTTTTTGGGCGCCGGCGGCGCGGGCGGCAGGTGTGCGCCGCTCCCCTTGGTCGCCTGTCTCTTGGCCTCCTGCTGCGGCCGCACAGCCCTCCACCAGCGCGGCGCGTGGAACCCCACAAACGCAGCCAACCCCCTCCTCCCCTGCTCAAGCCCCCTCCCCCAACCCCCACCTGCCGCCTGGAACCCCTCCCCCCTCCCAACCCTGGGGCCCAGCCATGCTCACGGTGGAGGACGAGGAGTTTTGGCGGGGGGCGGAGCCCGTTGAGTTTGGTGACCTGCCCTCACTTCAGGCCGCGGTCACGGTGGTCGGATACCCCATAGGTGCGTGCCACCCTGTGTGTCTTTACATGTGTGTGTATGTGTGTGTTTGTGTACGTGTGTGCGTGTGTGTGTGTGTGATGCGGCCAGTTGCAGGCAGCCGCACAGACGGGGCGGCGGCGGCTGGCTTAGAGGCGGGCGCAGGCTGGGGTTCATGACGTCCCTGTCCGCGTTGGCGGTCACAGCTGGTGGTATCATCGCCATCACCCCCAGCGCCCGCCCCCCCACTCCTCGGTCCCGGCTCGAGCTGGCCTCTGCTTCTGCCTGTGGCCGAGCCCACCGTCACGCGCACGCACGCCGTCGCCCCCTTTCTGCAACGATGCGCCCGCAGGCGGCGACACGATGAGCGTCACCAGTGGCGTGGTCAGCCGAATTGAGGTGCGGCAAACCTGCCACCCACCCACCCACCCGCCCGCTGCATCACTCTGCAC